AAAACGAAAATTAAGAAAGATATATAATAATAAAAATAATTAGCAAACGAATAAAACTGGTTTTTGGGTTCCAACAGAATATCCGTCCGTACGAGTTCGATGAAATAAAAACAAAAGCAAAAGAAGATATGATATATGAAGATCTGATGGACCGACTGTGAAATTGGGTTTTTAGGTAGAAGACCAGCTAATCAAGGCAAGACATTGCAGCACCGCTTCACAAAATTTAATTCAAAGTCCTCAGTTTTTTCACATGTCACGTTTTCATTGGCCCGTTTATTCAAAGTGCGAGACATTACACTTGCCATACCGAAATCCCAATCTTAACCGTTGGATGGTTGGGATGGCGCCACATATGTCACATATCCTTGCGCAAGCCTCTTCTCTTTTGGAAATTTAGCTTTTCAAGTTTTCATGGATGGAGGATTGTGGAGGCTTCTACTGTGCATCATGTCTAAGGCATTATTAAAAAGTCATCAAAACTAAGAACATCTCATTAAAGAACAAACTTAGGGATAATTGAATTAGTTAATTAATTTTTTTAAAGTAAATTGTGTCTAAAGGTGTCAAACGGGTCGTGTCTAGAGTTGGCCACTTAATGAAGGGGTTGGGTTGGGCTTGCCCATTTATAAAAATTAATAAGTCTCGTGGCTAGCTCATATAAGACTAGGCTCGTGTGGACCATTTTTGAATTTTTATTTCTGATAATTTCATTTCAATCTTTTTCATACCCAAACAGGCCCTTGTTTTCAGACTGATAAAGCTCTATCTTAACCCAAGACCCTTATTTTGGGTCTAGATCACGAGAAACTCAAATATGTAAAAGCGGGAAAATAAATTGTTATGCGAGAATATAAGAAGCAGATAAATGAAAAGTATTTAGCAACTAAAGTAAATTTTAGAAAGGAAAAAATTCCAGATGTTGGAGATTTCTCTATCCAACTTTAGTATGATAACAAGTTGAAACGAAAGCCAAAGATTTCTCCATTTAGCTGCTTTTAAAGATAAATTACAATATATAAGAAATTGGAGATTTCTCTATCCAATTCACACATAAATATGCTTATAAAAACTCAAACTAGTTGTTTCAACAAGAATCATACCATGAAGATGGCAGAGCAATAAAAGATAAACGCAAAAGTTGTTAACTGGTTATCTGAACAATAAATTGGTTATTTGAAAAAATCTTGAAGTTTGTTCAAGTGTTTCCAAGATGTTGCGTCTGATTTTGGAGAGAGAGTCTCCTTCTGCTGCTGTAAAGCCTCTATATTTATAGGCAAGAATCCCTAATAATGAAATGTGGAGGAGGATATTTGGATGTTGTCCAAAGTCAACTATTGATATGCCCTCGTGAGCCGATCCGTAGGTAGGAGGAAAGGATATCTTGGATAAAACTACTAGTCTCAAGGGATGCTCATTTGATTTGTGTCCTTTCGCATCTGGAAATCCAGTAGGGAAACAGTTCTTTTTGGTTCTCGTGTCCATTATCTCGCGTCAAGTCATTATTAATGGCAATAATCCATTTCTCGACCTTCACGTGGGTCAATGGGTAACGGTTACCCATTTTCTTAACTTTAGTATGAACCAAAGTTAGGAGCTTTTCGTAATATGGGCTTTTAAGAAGGTTTCGCACATTACTGGCCCAACTCCAAAAAAGCCCTTTTTGTTGTTTTTAAAAGAAAAAGGTTGGGCTAGGGTCTAACATAATCTTATTTAAGCAATAAAACCATATTTGGCCCATTTTCCAAATATGGTACAGACACTAACAAGATACATCATTTGTTGCAAAAGAAACCAGTGAAATAGAAAAAACTAGATTGTTTGAGTTTAAAAAATTGAAAACCAAAATTATTATTTAATTTATAAAGAACACATGTAATTTTAAAATGTATTATTAGAGAAAAGAAATATACTTAAATTTAAAATAT